TACTCCTGCTAGGTTAACAAATTATGAGTTAAAAGCCAACAAACATTGGCGAATAAAGGGAAACAACCGGTACCCGCCGCTTGTTATCTCTACTACTCAGTTCCTTAGCGACTAGGTAACACTCATGTTTACTTAGTCAGACCACTTTCCTACTTGGATAAATTTACAAATGACAGGACCGCCTGCCTAAAAAGGATCCAGTCTTTAAAATAGAGAGAATACCGATTGGATAAATGGCCGACTGATCGTCTATCCTGGAAACAGACAACCAGTCGTCCAGGGGCATAGGCGGCGTGACTAACTATCCGTACCTGTCTGCAACTACCGGCCATGCAAACAGTCGGTCTAGTGAACAATTGGATATTAGAATATGGAATACTTAGACAAATTTGAGGCAAAACAAAAGTTCATTAAAAAGAAGCCGGTCATTAAAGAACGGCAAAATATTCAAAGCCCGGCCCCCTGGCCGGGTAAATACAAAGCAAACGGCACGCAGGTCGTGGAAAGAATACATAAAGCTTAAGAAGGGGGCAGATCTTCAATATTAGCAGTTGCCGCCTAGTCAGCACTCTTCTTGCTGGACTCGGCTTCAGCTGCATCCTTTTTTGATGCCTTACCCCCAAGCGGCACAAGCGCCACTACCGGCTCCTCCTCCTCCAACGCTTCCTCCAACGCCTCTTCCTCAGCAGCCGCCAGGATCTCTTGATTATATGTATCAGAACACTGGCGGTACGTTCTTTCCCAAGAGGCAAAGTCGGCACTGGGGAAGAGGCGGCCCCAAGTCATGCGCTGGATTTGAGCGGAGTCTTCCATCATCTCCCGGACCAGCTCTTTCTTCTCTTGCTCGGCCTTTTCCGAGAGCTCCTGAGTAAGACTCTTCTCCTGGGTCACCAGGCGTTCCTTTACGTTGGCCAAGGATTTCTCCAAGGCTTCGTAAGAGTACATTTTCAGGCGAAGAGGTTTCAGCTCGGCCTTGAGATTTGTGATGGTCGTCTCCAGCTCGTCATTCTTCTTCTAGGCCGCCTCTAACTGAGCCCAAACAGCGGCGGTAGCCTGCGCCTGATAATAAAGAATATCAATGGTCAGAACTTCATTTTGGGCAATTTGAAACATTGCCTTATCACAGTCAGAGGCGGCCATAGCTTTTGCAGCCTTTACCTCTTTGTTCTTCCGATCAAGCGGCTTGCGAAGGCCGTTCACTCGGAGCAGGGCCAAAGTACAAAGAAACAGGCGTCAGTTTCCAAACAAAATAAAACAGGCGCCCAGAAATTCAGATACTCAAAAATATGCTAAGTATACCTCAGCAAGTACCCCTGCAATCCCGTCAAGGTCAAGGGTGCCGACACCCCTGACCGCCTCCCTTTCAGCTGGAGGAACTGCCCTGATCATAGACTTGGCCATCTCTACCAAGTCAGGCTCCTGAGGGCCGGCTGCATCAAGCATAAACAAACGGATTAGACCTAGTAAAAAAGGGAGCAAGTCTAAAATTTACAAGGACAACTTCATACCTCTAGGCGGCCCAGTTGGAGTTTTAGAAGAAGTGGCCGGCTGTTTCTCAGCCGCCACATGTTTCCTGGCATAACCAGGCGAGCTCCCAACAGTCGTCTTCCGGGCCTTGGGGTCCGGCTGTTGGGAAGATGAAGCTCTTGGAGCACCCGTCTAAAAAAGAAGAAAAAAGTCAGTATATGCATAAACAACTCCAAAAAGAGGGTGAAAGGTTCGGAGCTCACCAAGGGTGCCCCCTTCTTGGGGGAGTCGGTTGAAGCTTGTTGCATGATAGAGGCCCGCAACATGGCCGCCGCAGTCTTGGAGGCGGTGATTTTGCTCATGGCGTCAGCTGCAAAAACAAACAGCAAAGTTAATAAAAATCATAACAAGAAATGTATGGAACAACAGAGTATTCGACAGGCCGACTACCTCTTGAGCACCGACTGCTGAGGCCACAGGCGGCCAAAAAGTACTCGTCGTAGAGACATTTGAAGCTCGGGACGCAGTGCAGGGGTACTTGCTCTCGTACCCCTGAAGTAGAGTCGACCCTCGACTCTACTTTAAAGAGTCCTTTATCAAGGATCACTTTCTTAGCCTTGGGGGGAACAGGCGGCATGCTACGGCCGCCTGCAAGAAGGGGCGGATTCCTGTTCCACCTATTGAAGCGCTTGTTCAGCTCAATGTCTGAACTCTCAATGATGAGGAAGGTGCTCCGCCAGTCCTTCCACTTGTTTGCTTTACCTCTCGTCATGAGGTAGCCCTGTGGCTTGTCAATTGATACCAACCGGTACCGCCTGTCTTAGGGGTCCGGCTGAGATAGTTCATATGAGCGAAAGCCTCGAAGCTCGGCTCCACCCCGTGCAGTTCGCACCCGGCCACATAGCCGAGTACGTTGACCCAGGAGTTTGGGGCTAACTGCCATAACCCCAACTCATACCCATCCAAAATCCGCTGAACAGCCGGATGTAATGGGAAGCGCAGCCCTGCCTTAATGGCCGCCTCGTAGCAGCCAAAGCAGGCGCTATCATAACTGGAACCAGCCGGCCAGACGACTGTGTCTTCTGGATCCGGCACAAACACTAAAAAGTCGGGGCCCATGGTGTGGTTTGCAATAAAGCTCTCCACTTTCTCTTGCATGGCTGTGATCCGGCCCCGAGGTACCGTGCAGTAGTAGGGGGTATTTAGCTCTCGGTAAGAGGCGGATGGCTCCGCCCAATTGTCCCCCTTCTCAACTGCATGAGAAAGTCTCGCCTCTTGCAGGCGGATGTTATTCTCTTCTGTACCCAAAGAAGCATGGCCAGAAGAGCTTGACTCAGAATCGTCCTCTGACGAGTCCGAAGAGGACGACTCCTCCCCTCTCCCGGAGGGGCCCGCCTCCTCTCTTTGAAAAGGAGCAGAATTGTTAACTGTTAAATGAGAAGGGGTCACTATGACTCCCCCACAGAATTGCCGGCATTCAGGCCGCCTTGTTTCACTTCCACATCTGGCGCCTGGTCAGATGTTTCACTAAGCGGCACCCTGTGGGAGGAGCCGTCTGAATTTGAGATCCTAGCAGTCTTTTTCGTTCTGGCCATCCTGCTCTGCATAAACACAGATACAGTCGGACTTTGTATAAAGGGAAAAGATGGGTCCGGAAAAGGGCAGGCGGCACTCCTAGTCCTAGATTCAGCCGTCCCCGGTGACCGGCTGATCACTAACCTAGGTCGTGTCGTGTGCTTCCGTGGTGCCATTTCAAAAAATAAAAAGAAAATTAAGAGTAAGAGAACTGGCAGTTACCTGAACGAGTGACGGTTGATGAAGTTCTGAAAATCCTGTGCAGTCGGCTTGTCAGAACAGGCGGTAGGCAGAAAAGGTCCAAAATGTCAGAGCAAGTTCAGGGGTCCGAATGTTCTCAAAAAGTTCTCAAAGTGTGAAAATGACTCAAGACAATCCTCCCTTATATAGGCGAAGTGAGAAGGCGAAGGGTCACTTTCAGAATTCAAAATTTGGGCGGGAAAATCTCTCATCCTTTGGCCGACTGACACCTGTAGCAGGTCGTCGCCTGTTACAGTGCGACACCTGTCACAGGTAACACGTGACCAGTCACGTGCCACCTGTGAGGGGCAAATGATTAGGGGATTTTGCTCCCACCAATCGGAATGCGCCACGTGGGCCAATCAGGTCCTGCCAAGTGTCCCTCAGTTGGAACTGTCAGGGCTTGCCACGTGGCACGCGCTTATTCGTCCATCTTGGACCTATTATGTCATGACATGTGGCATACTCCATGCCCAATGGAGAAACCGGCCACCCAGGCCCAACTTCCGAGGGAAGCCCAATCGGCCCTAGGTTAACCTAAACCTAGGATGGACACGTTTCCCAAGGTTATAAATACCTCCCTTAATCCTCATTAAGGGGGATTACGAAACAGAACGGAAAAAACACATTAATTACACACAGTAATAACCGGCTGATCTCGCTAACAAAGCAGATTACCTACATTAAACACTCTCACCTAGAGAGACTCAATCACTTTAATTTCCGCATTAATTACTCCTTAATCAAGTACTAACTTGACCGTTGGAGGCGGAGCTCCCAGGAGTCTCCGTTATTTTGCAGGTACAGGCGTCCGATTCCAGTCTCGGAATTGTAACTCTCCCGCAGGACATCAGAAAACCCCGAAACATATTGTAATCTTCTAAAATTGATATGGATAAGACTTGACTACAAATATTAAATATAAATTTTGGAAAATTATCAACTAAATGAGATTACATACCATTGTATTAGTATATGTATATGCACTATTGTAAATTTAATTCACTCAACTAGCATTAGATTGTTACTCCCTCCGCCCCTTATTGTTTGCACCATTTGACCCAAAAAACTCTCACAAAAAGTAGACTCATGGTACAAATAAAAAGGGACTAATGAAGTAAAAAGTAACCTAAGAAATTGTAAAATGATAATAGTGCTAAAGAGATTCACTTTAAAATACATGTTTTAAGTGCGAATAATAAAGTACACACATCAGAGCGTGACATATTTTACAAAAAATTATTCTCAGTTTTCCACACTTTTACAATAAGCCGTTTGAATGTATCTTTCTTTGAATAAACTACTCCAATTGGAGCTTTTATTCAATGAAAAAACTCAACCCAAGTCAAATGTCAACTACCCCATCCTTTCTTATTTTAATGTGAGGAATAACTACTTCAAAGTTATTAACTCCCAAAATATCTTATGCAATTGTTATATATCTTACATAATACATCCAAATCACCTATTAACCAATCAATCTATTAAAAACTCCTTATTTTAACTTAATCACTTTCTAAAACAGCTAGCTTTTCGAGAATGTAAAAACCATATTAACAAGGATGTATATCCACGTAACGTAACCGTTAATATTTCCCGACGGACCCTACACTGCTACACACTTGTATTGACACCATGTCATCCTACTCCGAACCTAATCTCTAACACATTGTGTCCACGTCACACGCCTAATATCAGGGCCCCGGCGGCTGTTTTCAGTCAACTTTCCTCTTCACAACTTTGTCAGCTAATCATCTCTCACAAAACACCTAACTTCTCTCTCTTCTCTCATTTCAATGTCTAACATTTCCACCACTTCCACTTTTCTTCTTCTTACATGCTCTCAATTTTCTCTCTCCTCCATTTCTTACATTTTTCCAGAACCCTAAAAATCTCGCCCAATTCTCTCTCATTTTGAATTCTACATTTTACTTGCTACATTTCAACTGATTTCAGCGATTTTTACTTTAATTAGGGTTTGTGAGGTTATTTGCTATATTTTGGAGGATTGTTCAGCTTGAGAATCGATTTCTGCTTTTTTATCAGTATCATCTTGAAATTGCCCTAATTTTAGTGAATTAGGGTTTGAATTTTGAGGTATTTCTGCTTCAATGTCGTGGAGATTAGATTTTTGATTGTTTTGGTGTGAAATCAACGAAGATGGCGGCGGTTGCGGCGACGGCGGAGGAGAAGAAAGAGAAAATGTCGGTGACAGGATTGAAGGAACGTCATGTTGCTGCAATAGAGCAAGTTAATTCTCTTAGAGAACAGTTGAAGCAACGACGTCGTCTTCTTCTTGATACTGATGGTTTGTTCCTCACTTTTCTCTCTTAAAAATGAATATATCTGATATTTCTGGAAAAAAATGTGAGTTTTCTATTTTTAGTAAGAAATTTTAAGGTAAATTGAGGATGTTTTGTTTGTGGATTTTCTTGCAGTTGCTAGTTTTGCGGCGGCGCAAGGGAAGACGGCGGTGAGCTTTGGACAGACGGATCTTGTGTGCTGTAGAACATTGCAGGGTCATACCGGAAAGGTAGCGCCTTTTTATTCTTTTTTTACACCTTTTAAATTAAATTGAGGAATTTTGTTTTATAATATACTTGTAATAAGGTAATTGATTTTATGTCACCCTGATTTCAAGTCTTAGTGATTGGCATCTGAACAAAATGAAATTTGGTACTCTAATTGGTGGAGCATAATGCTGATTATGTGAAGAAATTGCGAGGAATTTAAACCAATTTTACTCTTATTAAAACTTTGGATTAATTTAGTTGAAATTGTATTGGAATATTAATTTGACATTGATCATTGCATTGGTAATATGGTGTATAAAATAATTTGAAAATAATCTTACCATTATGTATTGAGTGACATATAATGCATGCTGTAGACATGGGAACTTGTGGTTTCTTTTGGATGCATGTAATGCATGCATTGTGAATGCTATTGAGAGTGAGGATGATGTTGTGAGGGAATTCTAGGGCCCTTAATTCTACTCTAATCAGAAAATGATTGTTACATTGCCCTACCCTTTAATGACATACATAGTACTTTTACTCGAAAATCCTTTATATTAGCTAGAGCATTCTTATACTTTCCATTTACCAACGTTCCTCAGTTTAAGTAGGAGCCGATTGGAAAATTTAATACAAGTAATAGATTACTATCTTAGGATAGGATATGGCTTTTTCAAACATCCTATATTTTTTTTTAATTTATGTGAACCATTTATGGACAAAGAATTTGTTCACCGTGTTGCTTTGCCTTTCCATAATAGCAAAAAAATTGAAGATGCGGTCGCGATCGAGTTGTCGCGGGAACGGCTTGTAACGCACGAATAAAACAGATCGCGGCAAACACGGTGTGAATTTTCAAAATAATTCACATTAATGGATTAAGTGGTGTTTATAGTCTTTAAGTAAAATAAGTATTCTTTGAATATAAAATAACCATATTTATCAAAATATAGCAGGTAACATATTTGGTAAACAAAAATACTAAATATCATGTTTTATAGACTAAATAATCAATTACTAAAATATTAAACGGATGTAACGGTTTAAATAACATTCTAACACTGCAAAACACCTTCTACGGAACGGATGACGCAGGGTGAAAGATGTGATTTTTGTCACGGTGTTATATAACGGGGTTTTACGGAACGGAAATTCCAAAATCTGTTACATAATGGCCGTTATATAACGGAACGGTTGAGTTTTAATTCCATGCTGTAAACTGTCATAGTGTCATATAAAGTCTGCTTCAAACTCCATTTGGGGCTAATTGAATGTGAGGAGAGGAAAATTATGCCGTGGAAGCAACTTAATGTAGGACATATATAGGTTTCTCTTTGTGTGAGTTGTTGATTCAATTCAACCATAATTTGCTGGTAAAATTAGCTGCTGGTAACTAATTGTATTTTACAAAGGTAGCTGCCAGATCTGGCGAATTGCATTTTCATTGAATAACTTTTTGTCCTTACAATCATGAATTCGCCATTAATTGTAAAATGCATGCCAGGTTTACTCACTAGATTGGACCCCTGATAAAAACCGAATTGTTAGTGCATCTCAAGATGGACGATTAATTGTCTGGAATGCCCTCACTAGCCAGAAGACTCATGCCATCAAGCTGCCTTGTGCTTGGGTGATGACATGTGCTTTCTCTCCTACTGGTCAATCAGTTGCTTGTGGGGGCCTTGATAGTGTCTGCTCAATCTTCAACCTTAATTCTACCACCGATAAAGATGGGAATTTGCCTGTTTCAAAAACTCTTAGTGGGCACAAGGGTTATGTGTCATGCTGTCAATACATTCCAGATGAAGATACCCACTTGATTACCAGTTCCGGTGATCAGACCTGCATTCTATGGGATACAACTACGGGATTAAGAACATCAGTCTTTGGAGGTGAATTTCAATCTGGCCATACTTCTGATGTCTTGAGGTACTTGAAGTAGAATTTTGTATTCTGTAAAGCTTGACTTTCTTTTCCACTTTGTTGGCATGGAAAGAGTGTATTTCTGAAAATAGTTGCTTGTGGTGCTTTTACTGTGAACTCTTAGCCTTTCTCTGCCTTAGTGTTCTTGCGGTGTTCAAATTGTTCGCCTGCTTCCTTTTGTGGTTTGATTGCTGTGGGTAGATTCTGGAATCTATTGACGCTGAGAAACCAGAAAATTCACTATTAGTAACTAATAATTAATTTTCTTATATATTTTATGGGGCTGTATCCTACTATCCTAGCTGTGGGAGAAATAAAAGATGCTTGGGACACAATTGGCACGCAGTTATGCTTTAGCTTTCATGCTGGCATTCTCCTATTTTGCAAATATTGAGAGAATCAACTATAAACTATCTTCAAGCTCACTTAAGATTATACGTAATCATTATATGTAGAACATGCATAGTTCTATTGTATGTAATAATAAACAGAAAATAAGTTGGACGAGCTAGTTCTGAATTAAATTTAACAACTTCTCTTCTGCATTACTTTTTAACCTTTAGTTTCTGCTAACAAACAAACATATCAAGAGCCTATGTAAAGTTATATAATAGGACTTTCTGATCATATAAAAGTTTAGATTTTTTTTTGTTACTTATAAAACGGAATTATCAAATCCAATATCCTGTCTATAAAGCATGTGAAAATGACAGCTTCGTTTCTTGTCACTTTAGTTTTCTACGTTTGCTTTATTACCTTGTTGTCTGCTTTTGGACGTGTATATTTTTTCATTTATCTTCCTGTTGTTTGCAAAACTATATGAAATAGAATACTATGGTTGATTTTTTGTAGTGCTACAGATGAAAACTGTTCTTCTGTGTACATTTCAGCATTTCGATCAGTAAAGCAAACAGTAAAATGTTTGTATCCGGCTCATGTGATTCAACTGCTCGATTGTGGGATACTCGTGTTGCAAGTCGCGCTGTGCGAACATTCTATGGCCATGAGGGAGATGTAAATACTGTGAAGTTTTTTCCAGATGGTAACAGATTTGGCACTGGATCAGATGATGGCACATGTAGATTGTTTGACATTCGTACTGGGCATCAACTGCAAGTATACCACCAGCCACGTGATGAAAATGAAGTTCCTCAGGTGAAAACCATTGCTTTCTCCGTTTCAGGAAGACTTCTGTTTGCAGGGTATTCGAATGGTGATTGCTATGTCTGGGACACTTTACTGGCAGAGGTATGAATTTCTGCTGTCCTTACTTGTTTTTACATTTTTTATGGGGATACCCAGCATGATGCACCACTTCACTGAGGTCCTGGGACCTATTGTTTTATAGCTAGTTTTCTCTAACCAAATTAGAGATTAATGATCATAAACTGAACCATATGAAAAAAAATTGTCGACAAAAAAAATTTGGCAGAAAATCAACCATTAATGAAGCATTCAGGCTCTTGATCCGGGGGGGTTAGATTATAACCTATTGTCTGCTATCCCTGTGCTGTCCTTAAGCAGATGTGTTTATCTGCTTTACATACTTGGCCAGTCTCAGTATGCTCTGAGTGCGATCTGATCTGTTTCATTTAATTGCGATATTAATAGCTTTCTGTTGTAATAATGGACAGATGTGATGTGTTTGTTATCACAGGTAGTTCTGAATTTAGGGTCTCTTCAAAACACACATGGTGAAAGAATCAGTTGTCTGGGCTTGTCAGCGGATGGGAGCGCCCTCTGTACTGGAAGTTGGGACACAAACCTTAAGGTTAGAACACCTTGTCTCTCCCTTTGTGTGTGTGTGTGTGTGTTCAAAGAATCTTAATTTGCCCGGTAATTTTACTGGGTCATTTCTGTAACCCAATCCACTACTCTTGGGTCTTGATTTTTTAAACTTTTGACGGGACTCTTGAGTCTTGATTGATTAAGGGTAAAATAGTATTTTTTTTTTTTAATAAAGATTGATTCATAAATAAAAAGTCATACGACATCTACGAAGAGATTTAAATCTAATAAATACATGACAATCGAATCAAATAAAAAAAATCCTTTCAGCAAAGCTAAGATCGTTGTTGCAAATCGTACATTCTTTATACCCTCTTTCATATCACTGTGATTTACAACATTCTTCGACGAGGGGGTCTATCGATTTGTTGTAGTCGTGAAGAAAATTTTCGTCTAATTCATCTGATTGTAATTGAGGGATTAACCTGTTTTTCGATCCTGCACAAATCTTTACCCATGAAACAACTTGTACCATACTAAACTCATAATACAAGAACAAAACTAAAACAAAGCCCATCATAGGGGCACTTACTACACTCAAACCCACTATAGGGGTACTTAGAACCTTCAAAGAGTGTAGTTTTATTGAATTCAATAACAAAAGCATAAAGAAACTAAAGGGAAGAAATTTGGCTCTTTCCGGCCTATGAAACACTTTTTTTGAAGAACCCCACAGAGAAAAAAGAGAGGAAATGGCTAAGGTTTTTTTTTATTAATTGCTTTTTGGGTAAAGTAGTTATTTAGTTCATCCTATAGAATTATTTATATCTGGCTCTTATTTCCATCATGTAGAGCTGTAAAGTGTTCTGTTTTCTCTAAATGCTAATTTAGATTCTAGATACCAAATAGAAGTGAGATCTTCAGTACCTATGGTTCTCCCTTTGCGCCATAGGGGTTATTTATCATCCAAAAAAAGTGGCATAGATATGCATACCAACCTCCCTATCCTCCCCCCACCCCCAAAAAAGGAGAAAAAAGAAGAGGAAAGGGGATGGGGAGTAATAATCCAAATTAAACACCTAGAGCATCCATCAACTATGTTCATTCTCTACATCCAACTCCTTGATATTAGTTGATTTGCAATGAGGAGGGAAAACATGTTTGAGTTTTCCTGTCTTATGACTAGCGTACTGATCTAAGCAACAGATGGTGGTAATGGTAATGAATTTATTCATTGAGTTAAATAACTACAGCACTTATCCATATCAAGCTGAGTTTTGGAAAAAATGAAGCAACAATATAGAGAATACCTAGTCAGAACAGCCACAATGTTATATATTGTTGTTTGATACTGTGAGTCCTGTGGCAATCTATACCTAGTTCTAGACTCGATAGCATTGCAAAACACTACGAGTACTGTATTATATTTCTTTGATAGATTAGAACTGCAACCAAGATCCTAATCGCTCAAGGATCTATTCTAAGAATCTAGGTCCATACTGTACTACTAGCGCTGACAAATCACGACTCCACTCAGCTCCCTGAGAGGAGACTAAGTCTTTTAAGGCAAACTTTACCACAAAGTAAGACTGCAGTATCTTCACTAAGCAACTAGAACCCCAGTTACTTGGCTACATTTTAAAATCATACCATGTACGAGAGATTTCTGAAATCTAAGTACATACCTGTTGTATAAGAATACTCCAAAGAGCACAAGTGCTTCCTGTTTTCCCAACATATCCTACTTCCTCCATTCCTGTATCTTGTGTCAGTCTTAATTTTTGCTGCCATTGCCGGGGTACTTGTAATTATGGGATCATGAATTATCATCGATTTCATGTTTATTAAAGATTTCTTTCTATGGCAGTTTATATGTTCTTTTTCGTACAATGATAATCAAAATTGTTCATTAGTTTCGATTTGTTTGAAAACTCCTGATCACTAAGAATTTTAGATCTGTTCTTATTTCGTTTCTCATTTAACTGAGCTTCTAATTCATCAGAAATTGAATCTAGTGATCATTATGTTTTTTGTTTGTTCCGCAGATTTGGGCTTTTGGTGGTCATAGGCGGGTGATCTAATCTCTAATGACAGCTAAATGATCTCATTAATTATCAGACTTATCGTCACTGTTTGAACCAACATATTCAATTCTACTATCACGTATATTGTAAATTAATCCTTTGTATTTCTCTTTTCTTGTAAACTTTCATGGAGATGCTAATGATTTAGTTATAGTTATCATCTTTTAGTTACAACACTGCGAATTTTGGTGTGAAAATTTGCTTAATGAGCTTTGAATGGCAAGAATCCCTGGTTTATCATTAAGTTGAAGTAATATTTGGTGTGAATGCATTCTGCTTGTTAAATTGTTATGAACTTATGACTGACAAAATTGCAACAGCAGCCTTGTGTAAATCCCACCATAAGAAGCTTAAGGAGATCAAAATGTTTACGCTTACCAGTCTAGAACCTGTTAAACAATGGTTTCTGAAGAATCTGAACCCTGTTATTTGGATCAAGGCTTCTATGTTGCGTGTATTTTGAACTTTTTGTGTTTGGATGTGATGGCTTCCATGAGCTTCCTTTCATTGAACTATACATTGGTCTACTGTTTTAACCAACTATAGGCTATTTAAAATTTAACAAGTAGTTGTGAACAAATGAGATTTATTCAACAAAATTTCTTTTATTTAATATTCCATGTAATGTAATAAAACACAAATAGATCAATACTTTCTCTATCTCATGATATAGTGCCTAACTGCCTAATTCATTTTAAGCAACCATCAAAACATATGTTTGAATTTGAATTATAAAGTTAGTTAGGCTTTAAAAAAAAATTAAAAAAGTTTAACAAAGCTAGCAATATCTCTCAAAAAAGTCACAAAACTACTTTTTATTTTTTATTATTGATTTTTTTTTTTTTATATTTATAATGTATTACTCCATTATAAGAAGAGTCTTAGGTTAAAAAGAGAAAATATATGTTCAGCACATGGAAAAACTATAGCTTTTGTAATATAAATAAGGAAATTTTATGCATTTGTTTGTCACAGCCATGGTGTTTGATTGGGGTAACCTCGTTTAAAAAGGTGGGCAAAAAATGAAATATGTACCGTATTACTCTTTTTGTTTCGTAATAATCACAACATTTTTCATTTACATTTTTTTCATAATAATTGCAACCATTACTAATTTGGTAAGGATCTACCATTATTAACCCCACTTGCATAGATATTTTGATATTTTTCTTTCCCTTACCTCACTTGTATAAATATTTTTATATTTTCTCTCCTTCCTATCCACTTATATTACTTTTATACGAGCATTATTTCTCTCTCCAATTATTAATTAAATACTACATATATCTTTACTAACTATAGTCTATATTATAAAATTTACCCTATGATCACTGTTTTCTATTGCTTTGTGCAATAACTAGGTTACATGGACACTTCATTCAACTGTTGTGTCCGTGTCGGACACCGTGTCAGACACCGACACTCGTGGGACATATGGCGATACGTCTCGGACCGTATCCTACTATTATATGGGTTGTTTAACTTTTTTTTTTAAGAGAAAATTTAAGTAAAGTAAAAATTAAATAAAATGGGTGCCTTCATATATACCTCATTATTAATATGATAAAGTATAATCTAATGAGAGGACGAAATGACAAATATATGGTCAATTTTTTTTTTTTTAATATTATATGAATTTTAACATCCCGTACCCGTGTCCCTTATTTTGTGATAGACGTTTTCTCGTATCTGTTTCGTACCCGTATTCGTGTCAGTAACCGTTCTTATGCAAGAATGTAACCTAGTGTGCAAGTTATTGAAATTATTACGAAACGGAGAAAGAATAAAAGTGTATAAGAAAGTAAATTAATATTTAAATAAATAAAAAAAACCACTCCATCAAAAGAAGAAACAGAACGAAGGAATCAGGAGTGAGAGAGTGAAAACCAGAAAAGGAAAAATGATATACAGAAAATGGAGTTTGCTCAGCAGCACCGCGGTAGTCACCGCCGGAATTGTTGGTGCCGTCGCTCTCGGAGATCTCCTTTTCAATCGCAAAGTTAGTCTCTTTCTTCTCCTTCCTCTAATTCGGCCCTAGATTTGACTTTTAGATTTATTATCAATTCAATTTTGTTAATCGATTCTACCTTTACGATTACGATTACGATTACGAATATGATTTCAATTTGTTAAAGTTACGGATTTTTAGTTCTATACCATATCTATCAGAATTTTGAAATTATCGATGAATTTGAAGTTGTTCTGTTTAATCACCTTGGTGGTTGTTATATATAATTGATTTTTTAGGGTTAACATGATGTTTTATTGAGTTGAATATTTGTTGTTGTTGGGTTATGTTATTTCATTGATTTAGATTTGTTTAGCTAGGAAGAAAAACGATTTTATTAATAAAATATAGCCAAACATTCAAGAAAGATTGTTATATTTAGCTAGTCATTATAGTTGGCTTATTTGACAATTTGAATGAGAAGTGAGTAAAGTTTTGAGATGGAATTTGTTAAAAACTTTCAAGAAAGATTAATTCTACTGAAATTTCTTTGTGATGTTATACTCATTTATTTTGGCATATGCCTATGTGGATGGCTATTCGAGGAATGGAGTATATTCTTGGTTTATGCCATCGACCCCATCCAATTGGGAAACGAACTTTGGTAGTTTGGTTTTTTTGTTGTTGCTGTTGTTTTCTTGCCATATGCGGTATGCCTACTATGAATATTTATGTCCGTATTTGTTAGAATACCTTATTGTTTGTCATCAATTTTTAAATCTTACTACTTTGGCTTATGTTATGATTTGACTGATGCGAATGGAGGGTTTTTCAAAGGGGATTTGATTCTTTAGCTTGGATAGTTCTAGGGTTGTAAAATTGCTTCTTGGAGATTGTTACAGTATACTCATTTTCTTGATGATTTTGTAAACTTAAATTTTATTCGTTTTCTTGATTGACATGAATGAATGGATTCTGATGAGTGGATCTGATTTATTAGCTCAGATGTTTCTAGGGTAGTAAATTTGTTTCTTGGAGATTGTTAAATTCTATTCATTTTCTTGATGATCTTGTCAAGTTCGATTGACATGGGGTTTTTGCAGGGTGCTTAGATGTTTCTAAGATAGTAAAATTGTTTGTTTGATATTGTTAAATTATACTCATTTTCATGATGATTACATAAACATATTTTAACTTCTAATCATAAATACCTTGACATTTAGATTATAAACTTTGGTTAAGATGTTGTCTTCTCCTTTAGTTGTCTACGTATTTGGCAGATTGGTATATATTTTAATCTAGACTCTTTTTTCTCTAATTTGAAAATGGATTGTTTATTCAATGATATTGTGAGGACTAGTGTAATCTAGTATAACACTCTCGTGGTTTTTTATGAGGACTCCAGGGAACCTATATTCCCGTGACAATGCTTTATAATACTCATAATAATAATCTCCGAGTTAACAAGGTGTTTTGTCTGTGGAACGAGAGAAGGGTGGCTTACTATTTAGTAGGAACTTCTCTGTGTTTACAGTGGTTAATGCTTATGCTGAACTAACATGGTGGGAATCATGAGATGTATTCCTTTCTGAATTTATAGCTGGATGCTTTATCTATCCTTATGTTCAAATAATTTACAGTTCTAGCTCTCAATGCTTAAACTTATAAATTATGGTTTGCACCAACTTATGTTAAGCTTGTTTGTGTTTTGCTGTAGGATCCTTATCCGGTACCAGAATTGAAGAAAGACAATGCATTGTCATTGAAGTAGAAGTGTTTTTCAAAGCTGTATTGTTTTGACCCGAGCTTCTTCTGAAATGTGTTTGTTTTAATGCAATGGAACTGTTGAATAATATCTTACATGAAATTGTAGTTGTGTAGCCGAATAAATTTCACCTTGTGGTTACAGACAGCATTTGCTCTCTCTTATTTTTCATTGCATCTCTAGCGCATCACAGTGCAAATTTATATTGAATGAAATTTTGCGTGTTATATGCCTACTGAGTTGTGTCACAAGTCATGCTATAATTTGTGTCAAGAAATGATAGGAACAAATCGTATAATTATATTCTGTTATGTTTAGTTTTGTTTTCTGTCTGTTAAATTTTTTGGGCATTCTGTACATCTGTAAGCCGTTGCATTTCGTTTGAGTTTATTTGGCTAGAATAATAAGATAAATTTAAACTCATGTAAGCAGCTATTTTATGGTTCTATCATTTTGGTCATGAAGTTAAAGATCTTTGCATTAGTACCAAGCAATTTGGAAAATTCATTAAATGCCAATTTTTTGGGGCCACTCACTATTTTTTCGCATCAACCATTATCTTATCATCTTATCATATTCCCATCTACCCCTGAGTTCAATGATGACTCTTGCTGAAAATTTTGGAGATGCTACTATCTTTCTGCCCAACGTCTAAGGTCTGCTTTTCACACCTTCGAAGTTCTAGCTACCAGTCCCCGTCGTATCCTCCTGCCAGTGACATCTGCTCTCTGTCTTCTTCCCCTGCCACTGCCATCCGCTTCCGCACTTCATACCGTGAAAAACTAGCCTACCTAAGAAATCTTGGCATTGTAGATTCGAATCCCAAAAGCACCAATGTGCCCTCTCATGCGAGTTTGGATAGAATTCTCACCATCATCAAATTCCTAAAATCTAAAGGATTTTCAGATAGTGATATCCCAAAACTTACTACCAGTTGCCCTAAACTCTTGTCTGATCTTGAACCAGCTGATATTGGACCTGTATTCAGTTTCTTGGCTACTGATGTTGCTGCTTCTACTCATGAATCCTGTGGACTTATTCTTTGCTGTCCTGATCTCTTGTTCTCCAATGTTGACTACTGCTTGAGGCCAACACTCGCCTTTCTTACAAGTATAGGTCTCAAAAGGCTGAATTCACCAACTAATCTCAACGCCCACCTTCTTAATACGCGTGTTAGTAAGTTTGAGACTAAGCGTGACTTCTTAAGGAGCATTGGATTTACGTATGATGAGTCAATAAAAGCATGTACACGGTTGCCTGCAATTTTTGGCTATAGCATTGAGAATAACATGGCGCCGAAGGTTGAATACTTGGTAGAAGGGATGCAAAGGAGCATTGATGAAATAAAAGAGTTCCCCCAGTACTTTGCATTTAGCTTGAGAAGAAGAATAGTGCCTAGGCATATGCATTTGATGCAAAGGAGTGTCCATATTTCATTGAAAAAAATGTTGTTGTGTGGTGATGATAAATTTTATGCCAAATGGAAATGAATCTCTCCATTGTTCAGCTAGTATGTACAGGTCAAAATTTTCCATATGTAATTTCCATTTATACTAATCTATGACAAGAAAGGCCCCATTTTCCTTTCTTTATATGTCCCTAAAAAATTGTTCCATAACATAATAGAGACTACAATTTTTCTCACAAACATTATTTTAGATACCACAATTTTCTCTCATCAATTATACTTGACAAAAAGTTATAAAAAAAAAGTAATATATAATTATAGGGTAAAGATCTGGTGACAAAGTAAGTATTACATGTCAATTTTTGAAATACTGCTCATGTAGGCAAGTATCCCGACTAGAGATTTGTCAGGGGAACCACATCAATATACAGTTCACTAGAAACCAGCCCATTCGACGAAGCAATCTTGTACCCTTCCATCTAGGCAAGTGAAGTAAAGATATACATGTTACAAGCTTACAACCCTTCCATCTAGGCAAGTGAAGTAAAGCTATACATGTTACAAGCTTACAAGGTACAACGTGCTGACTTGACTTGACCAGTGTTTAGATTGAACTATGGAAATTAATGATGTTCGCACAGAAAAATGGAGCTTTAACCAAATTACAGAACATCCCGATATGATATCACACGACAGCTTTTTGGGCAGCGCAAATGATATGTAACATTAAAATGTTTTAAAGAAAATAGCTAACTTAAATGAAATAAAGAATGAGGTTCATACAATGCAATAATTAAAATAGAAATAACATTTTATTGTTTAACTTTTTAGTGAATACACAAGTATCTTATGATATCAGGGAAAAATGGATAGATTCATACACAATACTACAAATATAACAAACAAACAAAAAAGAGCATCAGATTTCGGCTAAGGGGTACAACCAACTAGGGTATGCCAGTAAGTTGTAGTACAACCAATCCCCGTCAACACCATGAACCAGACTTCACTGTAGACAGAATTTGCGTAAACTCAAGGAATCTGTAATGAATTAATAGGGCAACCTTGCTTTGTATGGGAAAATCCTCATCTCTACAACTAGCATCTGTTTCCCGCCCCACACTATGACTTTCACCTAAAAAATCAACATATATAATGTTTAGCCGCTAGCAACAATTTCATGAATTGTGTCACTGACTGCATCATCTTCTGATCTAACAGCAAGTTTCATCGCCACTTCTCTGTTTGAATCAAGACCAAATTGTAATCGAACAAGAACCTTCACATTGCCAATGAATACGCCAGAAAGCAGGCATGTGTGTGACCTTGAATTGCTTGGCACCACTTCAGTACCCTGAAGATCATACACAATGGGAAATAGTCATTAGCATTTTCATTTAGCCTTTTGCCAGTGGAAAACAATATATAGTGACAGTCTGAGGAAAACAAACCAAAAGAATTAACCAGAGCCAGGAAGCACAAGCTCTCTTTCTCTACCTTCAAGAGGCTGATAAGAAGTTGGCTAAGCTAATATAATTTGATTGCTTCAACAATGAAAAGAAACAGAAGTTGGCAGAGACACGCTAATATCTGCAATGCCTAATAGCCAAAGCAGTTCTCCCATAGATTTCAGGGTTTGGTTGGCATTTATGGAGGTGAGGAGACTATAGAGATGGAAGAAGGGAGGTGAGGGAAGAGAAGGAGTGAGCTTGCAGATTAATAGAGGGAAGGAGAATGGACCCCAAAACAAGGAAAATTTTATCCTGTTCTCCCTTGATCTTCAACCGGCAATATGATTAGTTCATTAGAATAATTTCAAACTTATTTCTGTTAGCTTACCTCACAAGGTTGCATGCCGAGAAGGCTGATGACAGCATTTACTGCTTCTGTCAGGTTTTCCCTTGGGCCAAGACCATATTCATCCACTTTCTCAAAGTCAGCACCAATGCTATCCCAAGCATTTCTGAAGTTAGATACACCAACCTTCAACATGTAATCGGCGGCCACAACATCCACATCCTCAAGCTGGTAGTCTTCTTCCATACCATCCTCCTCTATAACCTCACCAGTAGATGGGTCAACCTGCACCAACATATAAAATTATATTACTGAACCTAACCTACTTTTCCATGAGCTTACCCAAGCTTACCAACAAACATAACTGTATTACTCAACCTAACCTATTTACCAATTCTGCTTTAGCATGTCATTTCATATTACAAGCATGTATACCAGACATATATGGGGATCAAGGTCTCTGGGTAGAAACATTAATGCAAAGAATTAAAAAAATAAAATAAAAAAATAAATCCCAAAAACTACAATGGTACCAAATGGAAAATCCAAAAAAAAAAAAAAAAAAAAAAAAAAAAAAAAAAAAAAAAAAAAAAAAAAAAAAACAGAAGTAAGCACAAGAGAATCACATAAATTTTACTCATCCTAAATAATTACCCAGCACTCAATAGAGAGCTACAACAGGTGAGGGCAGCATTTTAGATCAAATATCACCAAAGATATACAGGAAGGACTAGTGGCAGAAATATATATTCATAAATGTTTGTAAAAAAGTATACCTCCTTAACAATGAATCTCAAGTTATTTGAAAACTTGCCCACAGCAGGCACTCCCTCAGGCTTCTGGAAGGCGACAAATGTATGTCCAGGAGTGTCATATGGAAGAGACCTGAGAGGCTTAGATGCTATTTCGGCAAATTCTTCTGCTTCAGAAGCATCCACGGTAACGGTAACCTAGTAGCAAACATACAATACCTCAAAAGGTCAACAGACAAGATTGCAGAGCATAGAGAAATCATTTTCTGATATATCAGAGGCCTTACATCTTCTAATAATTGCTCAGGAATGGTGTTGGTGCAGTTGTATTGGAATACAACGTGTCCATCATATACATGCTTGACAACATTAACTGCATACTCTGTCTCAGCTTCAGTGAGCTCAACAGGAGCTGAAGACTGGAAAGTAAAGAGCATAATTAAAAAAATTTACAGCAAAAACCAAAATTATTAATCGCCCAATATCAACCCCCTCCCCCAAATTAAAAACAAGGGTTTAGTCAAACCTTAAAGAGCTTGCCGAACGACGAGAATTCTGAAATAGAGGACAGTAATTTCTCATAAGCATCCACACCAGTTGAAGCAGCAGCAAGAGGAGTATCCAACCCAGGGTGCTTCTTGTTTGTTGCTTTCTTCTCAGCAAGCGGCTGAGACTTGACCTCCTTGGGAACAGAGTTAATGTCAAATGGTTCTTCAGAGGGCTCCTGGATAAATAGCAAACCAATGAACAAATAGCTTCAATGTAAGCAATGATCAAATACATTAACAAGCATGCTTACATAGTTCTTTAGACTAGTTTCCAGATTGGATAGAGGGACATCCAGAGATCCGAAGAGAAATTCCTTAGCATCTTCGTCAGTTTCAACAACTCCACCATCACCTCCCAGCGTATTCAGATAGAGCGTAGCCCTATCACGAACCTGTAAACAACCTCAAAGAGTCAGCTAACACTCATAAGAACATAGCTATCTTAGAGTAGATAAAGCCTAGCATTACCAAATAAATTAAGAAAAGCAATTCTACATCTATGTACACTCATATTCCACTAGCCAGGACAAATGGTGTAGAATGTATAGCAGAAAATAAGGTGGACTTGGCTGCAATGTATGAAAGACAACAAAGAGTATCCATCACAAAGGAATTATGAGGTCAAAGAAATGTCGAAAGTTTGGTGACTGAAAAATGTTTTATATTGGGACTGTAGCCATTCACAGTTGGTTGTCAGCCCACAAATGTTATGTACCATTAACCTTTGGTGAATTCATCATTATCATGATTGACTAAAGAATCATACACAAATTGAAATATTTTTTGGACAGAGGATTCATCACAAATTGAAAAGACAGTTCAAAAAGATATCAAGAGACGCAAAAATATGTAACCATGCCCCCAAAGAGAAGAGTTGCCCTTAGAAAACCTAGTTTGCATTACCAACTCTGAACAAGTTTTTTTTTGGTGTTTAGAGAGCCACAAGGGCAGGTGATGAGAATCGATCCCAAGATCTCTTGGAACCGGAGAGAGGCTCAAACCACTTGAACTATCCCTCACTCTCACCAACTCTGAACAAGATAAATGTACAGTGGTTCCATGGAGCTATTATAATACTATTTTATCGGTTAAACAGATGTATCAAATATGTAGTTTGAACTTCATGGTTAAAAGGATGTCCCTATATGATAGAATAAAGGAGAAAAATAGATGCCTTAGTCTCTAAATGATTTGGGGTCATGAATCGCCAGCAAAAAAATGGTCCAAAAAAAAGAAGTCCCTGTATGATAGAATAAAGGAGAAAAACAAAAGTCGAGCACAGAAAATGAGCTTCACCTCATCATCACTGTCAAATAGGCAGCGTCTCAACAGAATGAAGATACGGGGCTGCACAAGAAAAAGTCCACCATTAGAGGTCATCAACTTTCAATTAGTATACATTTGAAAACCAATACAACCAAGTAAAATACCTTCAGTGAATCGACCATGGCACCAAATTTCGCCAATGTACTTACAGCACTGGCCCTAACAGTGGCATTCTCAAGAATAACTCTGTTATAGATATACCGTATGTATTTGCTGGGATCTGCTGTCTTTGGCCCCTCAACACCCAAGAAATGCAGAATCTGGAGGAGCAGTAACATATAAAAAAGAATAGCAATAGAACTAATTGATTCAAAAAAACCAATTAAAAATAAATAAATCACATTGTAGAGAGGTGTGGACTGTAACCTGAGTGGAAAGGTACGTAAATTCACAGTCCTCGATGAATTCACAAAGGTGCAGAAAGCCCACTTTCTTTTGCGTCTGGGATATCTCTAATCAGTATGACAATAGAGTCGACAATTGCCTTCTTATAATCAAAACCACCTTCTTCTCGAAGAATATTGCTCAGGAAATTCATGCTGAAATAGTGTTATTGGGAAAGATCAGTAATTAAAAATCCAATAATAAAAACATCTAGATACTAATTTACAGAAAAGAAGATATGTAGTAACTGTTTATAAGGCAAATGAAACTAGTACACATACAGTGATCTATATTTCAGAGGGAACTTTAGACAAAGAGATCTAATGGCATCAACAACAACAATCTTGAACTCATCGGCAATATCTGACATGAA